AGCTCGGGCCGGGCGGGGAGGGCCGCGGGGTGCCGGCCGCTGTGCGCCGCCCGCCCGGCGAGGGAGACGGTGACAGCGGCCGCAGTGCCGGGGCCCGCGGGCTCGGGGCTGGCACTTCCTAAAATGCATCCTGGACGCTTTGCGAAAGATCGGAGTCCATCAGGGTGTTGCTAGTCGCGAATGGTGATGGAGACGGTGGTGGCGCCGAAGCACGCCCCTGTTACAGGACAGGAATCCTGAATTGGGTCTCAAAAGCCGCTTTCCGGCCACCCCGAAAAGGCTGAGGTGGTAAAAAGAAGGGAAGCCCAGAAGGGGTGAGGCGAGCGTTAAGAGGTATATCCGCGTCGATTTGCTATTCCCTGGGAGAGCTAAGTCTAACTTCTGCTGGGGCCACTTCTGCACTAAACTCAGAGCTGAGCACACGAGAGCGACCATTCCCAGCCGGCTGGTGGCCCGCGGAGGTAGATGCCGCACCAACTTAGACAATCATTCCGAGTGGAAATCCAGAAATGATCACACGCGTGAAAACAAGTCTGCTGTGCAGGCACGTGGATGTGTGACAGGCGACTACAACCGGAATCACAGCAGGGCCCCACAGGTGCTTAGGAAGCCAGAGCAAGGATGCCGGAGCTCTTCTCCCAGCTGTTTGCAGAAGCATGGATAAAGTTAAACCACAGAGTTGAGGTTTCTGTTTTAAGTTCCCAAGTTTGGAGATTTTTTTTTTTTTTTACGTTAAAGCTGCCTACTTTCAACCTGACCCCTAGACTTTCTCACTATGCAGTTCAGGCTGGCCTTGAACTCACGTTGTAGCCCAGGCCGGCTTCGAACTCGCAACAATCCTCCAGCCTCAGGCTCCTGATTGCTGGGATTACAGGTGCGCGCCACCACGCCCAGCCCTAAACTGGAGTCTCCTCTGATCCGGTACTCCTGGGCCGCGCACTGAGGGTGAGACTCCCAGGACCTCTGCTACACATGTTTACACCACAGTAAAAGTTATTTCTTTATGGAAATTTTAGGGAGCGAGCACTTCAACCATTTCAAAACATCATAAAGCCATGGAAAATTACACTTCCCCTGCTGTGAAAGATACCTTTCGACCTTTTGTCCAGTCAAATAATTCAAAAGCTGCTGAACTTTGAAACCAGAGGCTTGGCACACGTTGTTCCTGCAGTCCTCAATGAGGGGTTCAGAGTTTTCAGAGAAAAAAAAAAAAGGCTTGAAATTTAGTGCAATTGATAAACCGCAGAAATGAGATCGCAGGCATGCTGTGTGGTCAGAGCCATTTTAAGGATACCCTGAGCAGCTGAGCCACAGCCTGAGCCTGGGATCCACGGAGGCAAGAGTCTGCAGTAGCCTGCCTCGTTCCTTACAGCAGGACAGGTGCTTCTAGCAAACCTGGCAAGTTCGTGCTATGACTGTGGCTTTCCACTACGTTTGTCCAACCACACTGACTTGTCCACATGCATAAATTTAGGAGAGTTTGTCTTCTGCACATTCTTTTTTGCACACATTTTGTTTAGGCTCAGAGGTACCTCTGTTCAGGGACTTAAATTGTTCCATGATTCTGGCTGTGAACCTAACTGGTTGCGAACCAAATTGGTCTCAAAAAGAAGTGTCACTGAAAGAAAATTACTATTTGTTACCTTAGCAGTTACGGGCTTCTCGTCACACCATGTAGTTTACTGAGTCTCTGTCCATGGCATTAATTAATAATCCATAAAAATGTAAGTGAAGCTAAATCCCTCAGCAGTTTAGTGAAGCAAAGCAACTCTCCCACTCCTGATCACTAGAGGAAAAGTTTACACCCCAGTCTTCCCTAACATTCTTTTATGATCAAATGTCTAAAGTCTACTATGTATAGATGAATCTTTTGATCTTTTTATGACAAGAGTGCTAGATAAAAAAGTCCTTTTCTTTTTTCTTACCACAGACCGAGAAAGAATGTATAGATCATGAATTAGGGTGAAAACATAGCTTTTGCTGTTATTATCATCTTATGACTTTGCAACAGGTGGTGTTATATAGAAAATAAGGGCATTAGGGGCCGGGGAGATGGCTCAGTGGAATAAGCGCTTCCCTGGCAAGCTCAAGGGCCTGAGTTCCATCCCCGGTTCCACAAAAAAAAAGAAGAAAAAAAAAAAGAAAATAAGGGCCAGTGAGATAGCTCAGTGGACTAAAGCACTTGCTTAGGCAAGTGCAGGGCCCACAGTTTGATCCCGGGCACCACATGC